AGTTCCAACCTGCAGCAGCCTGCACGAGGAGGGACCGTCCATTCCAACTGGAGCATACAAGACGACAGATTCATCCCATGTCTAGTTGGCAGCAAAGTTCAATGTCCTTCCTAATGTAGAGCTTTATCTGATCGAGTTCCTTTTCTAATGCTTCTCTTCAATTCCTTCTGACTAGGTAAGGCTTTGCACTCCTCCGATCCAATCCTCAACTGCCGCTCAACTGCCATGCTGCTGTCAGCTAGAGACCTATAGATAATTAAAGTAATATAACTTGTCTCCAATTGCATAACATTATCTCGTCAGCTGCTGCTGCTTCTGTAGTTGTAGCCTTGTAGTAGGTCTGAAACAGAAAGGCCTGTTTTGTCAACTTGTGTTCGCTGCACTCGCAGAACTTAATTGATATTGTCAACTCTCAGTCTAAACAAGAAGATGGAGGAAAACAATTTGTGTGTCCAACGTATAGCAAACAATGATTCTCATCTCCTGTTGCTGAAACATTCAGCGATATATCTGATGATCTAACCGAGAAGAATATAATACTGGTATATGTCTCTTTGGCTTCCCTGCAATGCAATACAAATTTTATGTTGCCGACAGGATTAGATATCTTATCAGGCTGTGGATCATTATTGTGCACGAACACCACACTATCTGATCCATCTTTCCCTGATGAGGAACTGCACTAAATCAACAATTGGTTTTGATTTTTTGGCGGTCGTTGAGAGCTGTGGAAGTGGAACGGCTGTTTTGAGGGATCCTGGTTTCCTTGTTTTCCGGTGAGGGCGCGTTTAGATCCAAAATTTTTTAGGTTTTGGCTACTGTAGCACTTTCGTTTTTATCTGTCAATTAGTGTCTAATTATGGACTAATTAGGTTCGAAAGTTTCGTCTCGCGATTTCTCACCCAACTGTGCAATTAGCTTTTTTTTCGTCTATATTTAGTACTCCATGCATGTGCCGCAAGATTCGATGTGATGGGTACTACGCAAAAATTTTTGGAATCTAAACAGGCCCTGAGTGTCTCATTTCTGCTTCAACAGTTGGTTGTAATATTTCACAGCATGGAATGGGAGGAGGACTAGTTCCATTCATTTATTTTTCAGCAACCACCATTCTGAAAGACAAAAAAAAAAAAGCAAAGTCTAACAGATCATGCACAGATTGTTTAATGCTCCTGGGATCAAGTGCATGCATGGTATTGCCCTTGCATGAATGGCTTCTCAGTTATCGAAGCGGATTACTCCGTGCATGAATGATAAAAACTACTACCACTAGTTTACTTTTACTATGAAAAGGCTCCTCTTCTTCTTAGAAGCCACGCTGCTAGCTGAATCATGCTAAACTAGGACCAACTGGCCGGCCTCCTTTTCAAAATCAAATCTCAAATGCTTATCAGAAGTGAGATCGATCTCCGATTGTTTGGCTAGCTAACTACCCATGGACCATGTTAGAGTTTTATTACTCATGGACCATGCATTGGTCCATTCATTTGTGCAGAGTACTGCCCTGTTCGCTTGGCTTATAAGCCGTACTTTTTCAGCCAACGAACAGTCGCCCTGTTCGCTTGAACTTGTGTGGCTGATAAGCCATGGCTAAAAGTCTTGTTGGCTGATTTGGTGTGAGAGAAAAATACTGTTCGTTGGCAGAAAAAGTACGGCTTATAAGTCAAACAAGCCCAAGCGAACAGGGTGAGTATTTTTCTCTCACAACGAATCAGACAACAGTACTTTCAGACATTGCTTATCAGCCAAGCGAACGGGGCATACGTTGTTCAGTGGCGAGCAGGCTAGTATACTACCACTACTCTTTCTCTAATCTACTCCCTCCATCCCTAAATATCTGTCGTTTTCGCTTTTCAAAATACAACTTTAACTAAATATATATTAAAAAGTATTAATATTTATGATACATAATTATTTTTTTGAATCTAGTTTTTTAATAGATTTATTTGGAAATAGAAATGTTACACGTATTTTCTATATCGACATGCAAATTAAGGCGACAAACGTCTAGGACAGAGGGACTGGCTAGCAGAGTCTTATCGATCGGAGCATTCAACGCAACGACGACGATCTGGCAAGACGGGGAGAATTCGAAGAGAAACAGATCATGGGCTCCATCTCCAATTCTCCATGCTGACCGCGACACGCCGACATGTTTCGTGTGGCACGTCCGCACGTGTGCTCTCTGCTCTCTCTAGAGAGTTTTGCAATAATTCAAGATAGACACGCGCTGCAAACATGCATAGAGCAGCTTAATGAAAACAAGCTGAATTCATCTCAGGACAGCGACGACGACACGCACGACACCACCGTGCCGCGCGCATTCGATCAGGAACAACACGGAGACACACACTACTGACACGGGGCAGGAGACAAAAATTGAACCCTAGCTTTGCGTGGTTTCTAATCCTTCACCTCCATCTTTAATTTGCTTGCTTTTTTTTACATATATATTGTTCATCCGTTTTCTTAACCCTGAATTATTGGGAGGCGTTAACGCTCGCCTCTGACGATCTGCGGCAGGTAAAGCGCGCAGTGACAATGTCGCCGTCGCAGTCCGCCGGATTTGCTTGCGAGATCTTTGCTTGGGTGGTTGGGGATCGATGGCACTGACGTACGTGCGCGCGCGCTGATGGATGAGCTGAGCTGAAGCGTACTAGGCGGGAGGAGGAGGAGGAGGCTGGAGAGGGAGTACGGTGGGTACGGGCTACGGGTACCCGGCCGTCGCGCTGCGGGTCGAAACGGGAGCAGAGAGCATTTTTAGATGATTCGTGCATGGTCGGCGCCCCGCCCATGGGTTTGCATCAGGGTCAGTCGGTCAGAAGCGAGTGAGCCAGTTGCAATTGGTCTGGGCGATGTCAACGAAGGAGCCGGCCCGGACGGCGCCATCATGTGAGCGCTCAGCGGACGGTACACAGGCAGCACAGACATGCAACGCAACGCAATCGATCGGTTCGGTTTTGGTTTGGCGCCCTGCGCAGCGCTCGTGGAAACATGCGTTTTGTGCTGTTCCCATCCTGCCCATGCATGCCTCCTGAATTGGATTGAATTGAACCGAACCATTCGTCGTCGCCCCCAACTACTCGCGGCTGCAGCCTGACGGCGACGCGTCCGTCCACGCTGCCCCCATCAAAACAGCCCGCGAAGCCCAGCGTCGCGTTGCTCGACCGGACCGGACCGGACCGGATCATCATCCCTTGTTCGACACGAGGAATAAGCACCCACACGTGCTGCGGAAACGGGCATATACAACCCCTAATCCCCTATTGGTGGAACACCAACTTCTTATTTCTTGCGCGTGCATCGTCGTGACGCACGTTTACCGACGACGATGTGTGTGAGTGTCATGCATGGGAGGTAGCGAGGGGGAGGGGAAAGGGGATGAATGTATAGGTTAGGAAAGGGTGGGGGTGAGAAAGGAGTAGCGGCCGGCACGCGGCGGCAATGGCGGTCCTGTTGATTAGAGTTTGGGTTTTGATGGTCTAGAGACAAAATTATGAACTCATCGGACGTAGAGGGATGGTGGTAGTTGGTGGGAAATTGGGGCGAGTGGAGGAGGTAGAGGGAATCGTGGGTGGCTCTTTCGGTAATAAGGTCTTCGCCAACCAAGGCGGCGGTGGAGGTTTGCGGCAGTGGCGAATCTAGGTTCAAAAATCATTGATGTCACCTCCACTAAGCAATAACAGATTTTCGCCTATAAACACTATTTTAAAAAGAGAAAAACAAAACAATAATTAATGTCACGTAACGGAACGAAAATGGGCCAACTCTGCTCCTGTTTGCGGCAACGGGACCACAAAAGCTGATGAATCTAGTGAGTTTTGCTAAGAGTGAGATGTAGTGCTAGGGTGAGAAATTGCATGCTGAAGCGCGGGGTGAGGAGGAACGTGAAAAGGACAGGAAGAGGGATCACATAAAAGAGTCTGTCTATTACACAACCATGTGTTTTATGCAGTTTCAACACATGATTTTTTTTGCACCATAGGATTAAGATCCAACAGCCTTTGCCCTTCTTCTACCTCTAGCCTCCAGCCTCCACAGATCACAGATCACAATTTTTTTTCTATGGAAGGATAAATCACAGATCTGCCGCCGCCGCCGCCACTGCCATGGCCGCGAGCAGGCGCGGGGAGGCACGCCGGGCGCGGGCGCGGGAGGCGTGCTGGGCGCAGACGCAGGCGCCGGGGCGAGCTCACCGGTCGTGCGTCGCCGGCGCCGGTGGTCACCGGTGAGAAAGAGAGAGGGAGAGAGATAAAAAAAATCCATGTGTTTTTTTTTTGCTAAAATACACGTGTATTGTATAGCATTTCTATTAAAAAAAAGGTTGGAGTTTGATACGCCACCCATCCCCTGAAAAAAAATGTGACCAAGACTCCTCTAGTTAGGGAAAAAAACAATGCAAATCAGAATTTAGGGCTCCGGTACTTTTTAATTAACCCTGACTAATAATACTGAAATTATATATGTATATAAGTGTTCAGTGTCTGAATTGTGATTTGCAAAAAGAAAAATATAGAATATATATACCCAGGAGAAAATGTGCTAGGCATTTAACTGAAGTGTGCGTTCCGAAATGCAGCCGAAAATGCACTAGGCGTCTAGGCATTTGACTGAAGTGTGCGTGCGTTATAGGAGCCTCAGGACTGTATTTTTCATGGGAAAAAAACAAACGGAAAAAGAACAGATACCCACAAGAATCGTCTGCCATGTCATCACACAGCCACGTCATGGAAAGGCCAGCTGTGGGGCCGAGGCCGGAGGCAGACGGAACGGTTGCGATCCGACGGCCCCCGCTCCCGCTCCGGCAGTTATCAGTCGCTTCCGCCCGCCACGCCACCCCGCCGGCTCAGCAACTCATAACGCCCCCAGTCCCCACACCTCCCCTCCCCTCCCCTCCCACGCAGCGCACGCCGGCCTTACGTTGCGTCCCCTCCGATCCCCGGCTCCCCTCACGTCCCCGTCCCGGCACCGCGCCGCAGATCGGGAGGGAGAGCGGAGGAATGGTGAGCGCATCCAGCCTCCTGCTCCCGTCCTCCATACGGGACCTCGCCTCCTGCGTTTCCGACGGCGCGGTCCGCGTCGCCTGCACCACGCCGTCCTCCACCCTCACGGCCACCTCCACCACCACCACCTCCTCGTCCTCCTCCTCCTCCCCCTCCACGCTCTCGGTCGCCTTCTCCTACCGCACCACCCCGCAGTCGCCGACCTCGCCGCCGCTCCTCCTCCGCCTCACCTGGTCCCACACCCCGCTCCGTCCACCGACGCTCTCCTTCGCCGGGCCCACCGCGTCGTCCCCCGCCATCCTCCTCCGCCGCCGCAAGGGCACCCGCTCCCTCCCCTCCACCTCGTCCCACCCCGCGCTCGCGCTCTTCTGGGACCTCACCGCCGCCAGGTACGACGCCGCGGGCGGCGCGTCCCCGGAGCCGGTCTCCGGGTTCTACATCGTCGCCGTGGCCGACGCCGAGGTGGTGCTGGCCGTCGGCGACCTGGCGTCCGAGTTCGTCAAGGCCAAGTTCCAGGGCCAGATCCCCAAGGCGCGGTCCATCCTCCCCGTGGCGCGCGCCGACCGCGTCGTCGTGGCCGCGGCGACCGCCGCCACCGCGGTGCACGCCGCAAGGGTCCGCTTCGCGGAGGGCGCGCCGGAGCACGAGGTCACCGTGGGCTGCTGCTGCTCGACCAGGGGCGGGAAGGAGGGGGAGGAGGAGCTCTGGGTCAGCGTGGACGGCAAGCGCGCCGTGCACGCGCGCCGCCTGCGCTGGAACTTCCGGGGCAACCAGACGGTGTTTGTGGACGGCGCGCCCGTCGACGTCCTCTGGGACCTCCACGGCTGGTGGTTCCGCGACCCGCCCGGGCGCGCCGTCGTCATGCTCCGCGCCAGGACCGCGCTCGAGAGCAGGCTCTGGCTCCAGGAGGAGGCCCAGGCGCCGGCCTTCGCGCTCCTCGTCCAGGCATTCAAGACGCCGCCTTGAATTTTTCTCGTCATCGTGAGGTCAAAATCGAAATGCTCGCTCACTGCTGCTTCAATTCGACATGCTGCTTGAACTTAGCTGCCTTTTGACTTCGGAAAACCAAAACAAAACAGGCCAATCCAATCCAACAAGGGAATGGGAATGGTTGATGTTGACAGTTTACAATCGAATGTGGTACACAAAGATGAGAGGAGAGGAGAGATTGCTTTGTGTTGTTGCTTGGATCATCTTCTTCCTTCTTTTGGTTTGCTTCTCTTTTTCTTTTTCTTTATGGATAATTTTAGCTGTGTACTCGTACAGTTTAACAAAAAAAACAAAAACTATACAATACTAGTATCATAGAGTGTCTTGATTCAGCAGGTTGCTGCTTGTTGTACACTTAGAAATCAGAAATTGAAGTTTGCTTCCGTATCTTCTGCTCGTCCCTGTTTCTATGCAATGCAGCAGTAACAGTGATACAACTGCTTCCTAGCAGTGCAGTGCATATCTGCATATGTATGTACATTCCTGCACATTGCTTGCACGGCTATTCTTTTATGGCACGCTTGTGCTCCAATTTAGTTATCAAGTACCGATTCCTGAGATCCACCACATGTTTACAGATATTTGCAGCCTATCATATCATTGCCAATGGCTCTCTTTCAATAAACACCATCCGTTCCCTGCATGCTGCTCTTTGATCATGCAATTTCTGCAGCTGCTTAGCGATGTCCCTGTCGAAATTTATCGCCACATGACTCTCTCCCTCAGTATTGACACTGCCTGAAGAGGGGGAGGCTGTAAACGCAATGTGCTTGGTGGTGTTGCGTTGGTCCCAAGCTGTCCCGGCATGCAACATAGGTGGAATGGAATCCATTCCCAGTTTCTACTCCCGTGAGAGCTTCACTTTGCTGCTGCTTCTCACGGGAGAGCGAAGGTGTCTGCTGCACTGCAACTCTCTGGGTTTTTGTTTGTCTCCCTGGATTTTTGCTCTTCTATCTACTCCACGCCAAATTGGCAAATAGAATATGAGACGAAAGATACTGGTGACGCTATCACCCACCCATCATCGTGTCTGTTTACTCTATTTGCCAAGCAACCATGTTGCCACACTAGGACAAAACCTCCACTTCTTTCTCTGTGCCTTTTCCTATCTCCTTTTATTTCCCTCTGTATCTGTTTCTTCAGTTCACCTGCTATGCTACAACAGTGTGCAAACTATACATTCTTGAAAATGCATCTGATCACACAGCAGTAGTATCTGGGCTGGGGATTCAGCCTTGAGGTGATGGTTCCGGCACGGCACGCCGCCAGCCTCGGCCATGGAATCTGGACAAGTTCATCCTGGTTTGTAAGCTAGCTGTGCCTTGATTTGGAGTTTGAGATGTCCAAATGCAGCGTTGCTTTCACGATTTGTTTATTGTCGATTGCTTTCAGATTATGCAGTGTGTATATATATTATTATATATATTATAGACTGATGAATGGTGGTGACCTGGGCAGGATGTAGACGACTGTATGTGTGTTAGGGTGGGCTGAGCTGCTCCTGCTCTTCAGAAGCAGAAAGCGACGTGTTCAGTCTTCCATTTGATCACTCTGTTTCAAGTCTACAAGTAGCTGATCTTATTGGCTGCACTGCACTGCACACATGTCCCTATCATGCATTTCAAGAATGGTTCAATGGGATAATAACTCATGAGTAACTATCAGGTTCAGATCATCGCCCATGATATGCATAGATTGTACTGTATGCACTCTCATTGTACTGAATCCTGAGCTATGCAATGACGAACGATTAGTGGATTGCATGTATGATGACAGTGACAAGTCTACCTCGCAGCTGGTACGATGGCCATCATCTAATCTAATTAGGGAGATCAGGGTTTTTTCGTTCTGAAATCTCAAAACTCTGATGAGAAATCTGCTGTTGTTTAATCACTTGCCAAAACGAAAACGGGTGGAACAGAGGACGAGAGAGCATAAATGCCAGCGTGAATGCCTTCACAGGAATGCACTGACTTGTTACTGTTTATTAGTACCAATGTTGGCAATGTAGGACGACAGTACGAGTAGAGTAATAACTAGTGTAGTAACCTAACCAACTTGGGGTAATGGCCACACCTGCTCTGCTCTTGCCAGTAACAAATTAAAAGTCGATTAGGAATCTGTCAATCCATCATAAACACCGAAAAGAGAGAGAGATAGATTACAAGCAACCAGTAGCTGCTATATTTGCTACCAGAAAGGTGACCAAAATTTATTCCAAAGATAACCAAACAATAGGTACTTGAACGGAGAGTGGACGGTGCAGATATTTGCCTTGCAGAGTTACAGGCTTACAGCTACTACACCATGCATGCACTAACCGGGGACATATATAGATACTACGAGTACTATATAGAGCAGAACAAGCAATAAATAAATAGTACTAAGTACGTACAGTAAGCAATAGTACACCACCAGCGCTGCAGACACATGTGGATCTGCTGCTACCTGAAAGGGCGCGTACAATGGCGGACAGATGCCCATGCCCGCGTGCATGTGCGAGCAGCAGATCATGGCGGCGGCGGCGGCTTGGCGACGACGACGGGGAAGTCGATGACGACCACCTTGTCGAGCGCGGCCATGAAGGTGGCGGCGAATGCGGCGTGCCTGTCGTGGCCCATGTAGGTGGCCAGGTCGTCGGCGGAGGCGAAGGTCAGCGAGAAGACGTGGGTGAAGCCCTGCGTCAGCATCTCCTGGTTCAGCACGTCCTGGCCCCTGCAACCAGTGGAGGATATTCATTCGTTCATGGAGATGCATGGAGAGAGAGCAGGGCGATGAACAGAACACATTGCAGTCTCTCATCTCCCTTCTATTAGCAAAGTGAGACGCTAGCTCGTGATACTGGCCGGCCGGGCATGCATGGCAAATCAGTCAGCAGAGCATGATAGCTATTCTCTGAAGAAGTTGGGTGGACACATGTTTGCTAACTGAATGACTGACTAAACAAAATCCTGCTTAGCCCATTCAGACTTGTACCATGTGTTACTGTTACTAATTTTCATCATGCAGCGTATGTAAACTTTAACCAGAAAAAGTTCAATGCATATACATTCAGCTTCAAAAAAGGGGAAGAAGAAAGTGGAAAGGTAACAACAGCTCATGAATGGATGTGTACCACTCGAAAGATTTCACCATGTCCATCCCAGCCACGAGGTCGGTCATGCCTTTGAGCACATCCTCCACCACGACGCCCTCCTTGAACTTCACCAGGCACAGGTGCTTCACCTCCCCCATGGCCGGCGCCGAAAGCCCTCAAAGGTCTCCTCGCACTCACTCACTGCCCCCAGTGGCTTTATTTGCAGAGGAGAGGAGTATGTTGAGGGTGTCAATGCTGCGATGGATCGTGGCGTGGCGACATGATGGTGCTGGCCAATTTAAGCTAGTGCGCTGCGTGCTGCGGCACCGACAGGGATCACTGCTGAGCTCAGGCGTTGTTTAGTTACTCCGTAAAGTTTACTTCCTGTTCCTGTCGCATCGTATTTTCGGATTTCTATAATTTGTTTTATTCATAATTTAACAATGTTGTGCTACACTACATGTGCTAATAGTGAATTAATTAAGCTTAATTAAATTCGTCTCGTGGATTACTGAGAATTTATATAATTTGTTTTAATATTACTATCCGAACATTCACGTGACACCCGATATGACACCCGACGTGACCTCCCTTAAACACCACCTTTATTATTCCTAGTGGACTGAATCATTTCGGCACAGTAAATTAAACACGACGCGCTTTTCGCGGAGCGGAGAATCTTACTGTTACTAACTTGGAGCTACTTAAGCATGTTTACATTGCATCACGGACGACGGACTGACTCCGTAGCTAGCTGAACCTAAATCCGACCCTACTAACTTGTTTGGATTGAGGCGCGGAGTGGTTTCGTCCGGCACCAAGCGGTCCTGTGTAGTTACCATTGCAGTTTGGTGTTGTTTGACACGGCTTCTTGTAGCTCCAGCTCCTTCACTGCGCACACTGTAGTAATACTGTAGCAAGAGGAAGCTACGAATCGTGGCTGCTCTTGATCCTCTCTTTCTAGTTCATTTTTCGTCTAAGTTTGGCACGGCTCCTCCTGAGGGACTCCTTCGGAGGAGCCAGAGCCGTTTTGGAGGAGCCACAAATTGTGGCTCCTACAAAACGGCTCCGGCTCCTCTGTTTTTTACTGAAAAACGGCTCCTCCAAGAAAACGTTTGGCAGGACTCCTCTGGAGGAGCCGGAGCCGGAGCCGGAGAGGAGCCCTGCCAAACAGGTCAGGAAGCGAAACGGCTCTTTGCTGCAGTGTCAACAGTGACGCTACAGTGAATGGGAAGAGGAGCCGGAGCTCTTGAGAGCCCTGCCAAATCAAATGGTTACGTCACAGAACAAAGGGCGACTTGATCCGGCAAACCAAACAGCCTGTTACTAATTGGAGGCTACTATGTTACGGGACACATGGAAAGAAAGTGATAAATCTTAAAAATTCTCAAAAAACATAAACAGATATACACCCGCTCCTTGAAAGACTTTCATCATCATTAACGGTAATAGCCATTACATTATTTTCCTTCAAAACTTACCCATCTTTGCTATCATGAAAAAATTATATAAAAGTAGCCCCTAAATATATACATATTGTGATCATTCCAAAATGGATCTCAGAAAGTATATTATTACACCTATACCTTAGATACTTCCTCAGATTACAAATATAATATTGTCTAGGTTTTTCTGAGTCAAATTATTTAAATTTTGGTAACCAATAACTACTTTTCGAAATTGGGAAGCCGAAATCCGTAGTTGGGTGCAACAAGTGCTAACATAACTCAAGCACGAGTTTGAAAACACATACGGATGATTATGAATGGAGATGAAATGCAGATGGACTAATTGATAATTCACTAAAATATATCACAGCCACATATTGATTACTCAGTAGCTATATGGGTACTGGGTAAGAAAATAAACGAAATAAAATAAAAAGAACAAGCATACTATTTTAATGAGTTGTATATATATAAATAATATATGCCATCAAATTCGCTCACCAACTTGTGTCAGTGCACGGGCAAGGGTTAAAAGACCGGTGCATAAAGCAAGAGTGCTGCTGGTTCAGGACACGCTGACGCGCGTGTTGGTTTCGGCTGGATTGCTCGTACCTGGCTTATAATTTATGGGTTAGATAAATATTTTTCTCTCATACCTAACTAGCCAGCATTACTTTTGCTCGTACTAGGCCTTGTTTAGATCATCTCCAAATTCCAAGTTTTTTCACTCTCTCTCCATCACATCAATTTTTAGACGTATGCATAGAGCATTAAATGTAGGTAAAAAAAATAACTAATTACACAGTTTGGTTGTAAATCACGAGACGGATCTTTTGAGCCTAGTTAGTCCATGATCGGACAAAGTTTGTCAAATACAAACGAAACATGCTACAGTGTCCAGGTTGTAAAAATTTGCAATCTAAACAAGGCCCTGGCTTATAATTCATGGGTTGAAGAGTATTTTTCTCTCATATCTAACCAGCCAGCATTATTTTCAGCCATAGCTTAGCCAATTCAACCAAAACGAACAGCCCGGAGGTTAGATCTGGGATGAGTCATCATTTGATTGGACCGACCGACATGAGCGTACGACGGTGCGTGGGCAGCCATATGCATGCTGCCCTCGCCTCCCTCTTCTGCTGCAGGCCCCTCCAAGATTGGGGTTTGCTTGCTTCCCATGAGAGATCTCATCATACTGATCTGATCTCCTGACCCTAGCTAGATCAGAATTCTTCATCACTGTGCGTGCAGAGTGCTACTATATACCACCACACCAGTTACCAGTATCAGATGGAATGTTGATCGCGATCTATCAGATAATCTCAGGTTCAGAGAGCGATTGGGCGTCGCCGCCGTACTTGACAAAAACAGAACATTGGATTCAGACCACATGGTACTACAGCCTACAGCAGATGTACAATGATAGAACTGTGCTAGCATTCCCAGTTACAAGCTGACAAGATGGCAACTGATCATGCTTGCTGTTCAAGAAGAATTTTTACATGCGTACCTGAATAAGACAGCTGCATCAGCCATCAGTTAATCCCTAGCATCGCCCCGCCCCATTTTCAAATGCTCTCATCACATGGAAGTATGGAACTAATCCTCTATCCTATTTGTTGATGCCAACAACAGGTACTAGCCTTTTGCAAATGCACTGCTGCTGTCATCTCTCTTGTGGTATACATATCCCATATACCACGGTGTGCTGTTTTTGACCATGAACACTGAATGAATAAAGTGTGTTTTTCTTTCCAGCAACAAACCTGAATTGATTTCCCGTATCTACACGAAACCCCTCAAATCTAACCTACAACAGCAACAGCCACCCACCACCAGTGTGCATGTTTCTCGTTTTAACACGTACTTGTTCACCCTGCGGGGACTGCAGAGCAGAGCAGAGGCGCCAAGGCAGCTGCTATTTGCAGGGTCCTAGCTGGGTAGATCTGTCCACCTGCTTTCTTACTGTCTGGCTGTCATTTTCAGGAGGAGGGTTATCTTCAGACAACGGCAAGCTGTTAGCCCCATCCACTGATGGACCAGATACAACCTGATTCTCCTGGTCGGGCTCATGCCTAGGAGGTGCCTCTGATGCCCTTGATGAGTGCCCACTGCTGACAAACAGGCAGCGACATGGATCTGATCTCGACGATTCAGGAGAGCTTGGGGGGCTTATCACTATGCTGGATAGAGGAGGTGGAGGAGGAGGAGGAGGTGCAGTGTGTTCGCTTCCAGAGTCATCAAGCACAAGCAGTGAGATTCTACAGACCGGGCAGGTTGAGTTCCGCTCCAGCCACAAATCGATACAGGCCATGTGGAAATTATGGCTGCAGTAAGGCAGAATGCGTAGCATATCTTTCTCTTCGTATTCTGCAAGACAAATGACGCACCTGCCAATACGAACAAAGATGGTTCAGTTCCAGTGCCACAAAAACAGGCAATGGCTAAAAATATTAAAAGAAAAAAGGAATCTCAATAAGAAGAGTTACTGAAACTAGATATGTCAAACAACAGGGTGTCACCATTTTCACCTACCATCGGATGGTTTGCTGCCCATGTCAATTGATGGTTTGTTGTTCATGTAAATTCAGTATTATAGCTATAAGAAACTAAAGATGCAAATATGATAGTCAATTTGTAATGAGAAATGAGGCACTAGCCTGAAACTATTGGGATTGTAAGGAAAATGGACTCTAGGTCCATTTACTTTGGATTTTGGTGTTTGATGACCAACACAATAAAATTGGACTAATAAATTTGCAAGTAATTGTTTTGTAGTTCAATAGGGTGCAAACGTGACTTGGACGAAGGCGACATGATGATCCAATGATCAACACCATAAGCAAGACCCTAGAAGCACAAGAGAGGATCCAAGATATCAAGCAAAGTCCAAGCATGAAAATAGGAACCAAGCCAGACGCAAGATCGCGAAGAAACGAGCTCACAGAGGTGACCGGACGTGGCCCTATGAGGACCAAATGCGTCCGATTAGTTGCTCGGCAACAACAGGCGTCAGCAGTAGTGACCGGAAGCTGAGTGAGGCAGTGACCGGATGCGCGGACTTCACTGTTTATCGTCGCGGCAACAACTCAGTGAGGACCGGACGCAGCGGCACTAGATGACTGGACGCACAAAGTGCAGCGTCCGATCATGTCCAGAGAGGTTCCAGAGCGGCGCAATTGTGACCGGACGCATCCGGTTGATGATGACCGGACTCGGCAGTGCACCTGATCTCTACGCGCGCGCTCAACGGTCGGGACAACCGGACGCGTCCGGTTAGAACGACAACAGCGTCCGCTCAGTGGCAGAAAGCTGGGTTTCGCCCCCAACGGCTACTTTCTCTACGTGGCTTATAAATAGACCCCCCAACCGGCCATTTATGAGGTGGAGAGCTGAGAAAACATACCAAGGGTGTTGATACACCATTTTAGTGATCTCCACTTGCATAGTGCTTAGTGATTCATTAGGTGATTAGCGTAGGTGCTTTGCGAAGTGCTTAAGTTGATTAGACCACCGCTTATGCGCTTGCTCTAGGTTTAGGCCTAGTGTTTAGTGAGGTTTGCACACCTCTTATCACTCAGTGCTTGTGCGCACCATTATTGTACATCGGATGGGCTTGTAGTCTTACGAGATCACACCAACCGCATTTGTGGTGTGGCCGCCACCGTGTACCGAAGGGAACAAGGCCCGCGGCGATTCTGCCGGAAGCTTGATAGCAAAGACGGTGGGGAGCGATCAGTGAGAGGCTAGCCGGAAGGCACACCGAAGACCCACTTGCGCGTGGGAAAGGCCCGAGGCTATCCACGGAGTTATCCGACCGGGAGCTTGACCCTTGCGAGGAATTCCTTGCGATGGGCTCCAACGAGGACTAGGGGAAAGCTTGAGCGCTTCTCGATACCTCGGTAAAAATACCGGAGTCGTCAACGTGAGTTTGCATCTCTACCTTATCTTTACCTTCCGCATTCACATTGCTACCTTGGTTGATTGCTTTACTTTCAGAGGCTAGTTGATAGGATTGGAACCTAGGTTGCATAACTCTTTTGCGGTAGAGATAGCAACACACCTAACAAAACCGTAGTTGCACATATAGATAGATTATTTTCTTGTATAGGTTTTGACTAGGTGGAATTATAGGCCATAGTTTAGAGTTAAAATTTTAATTTGCCTAATTCAAACCCCCCCTCTTAGACGTCACGGTCCCTTTCAGGGATGAAACATCTATACCCTGTTTGCTTGATCGTATCAGCCATGATACAGTGGTTTTCTCTCACAACAAAACAGCATTAGCCGGCTTATAAGCCACATAAACGATCAAGCGAACAGGGTTACTCCTTACCATGACAAAATCTTCAAATTTATGTTTGATGTTCATGTTTCAATCAATCAAGAACTTATAGTAACTGCTTCACATTCAGCCAGAGGACTTGTTAACCCAGTCCCTGTTTCCCTTTCATCAAGCACAGGTGAGGTTAGACTACCTGATAACAATGTTTCATCATTCGTCTCTATCATCTTCAGGGACCAGTTACACATCCATACCCCCATACTGATGTGATTGATCAAGTGGTCTTAGCTGTCCACTGTCCAGTAACGATGCAAGCTGAGGGACTTAAATGATTCAATTGTCGATGTCCAGCACCAGCAGAGCACAATAGGCAAGGCACTGGTACTAAACAATCCCACCAATTTCTCTATGTAGGCACCGAAATCCTCAAGGACGATGCACCAAAATCTTCAAGGACAACTAATATGGTAGCATTCCTCAAAAAAAACTTCTATGGTACTGACAATGTAATAAATTCCTCAATAGCAACCTTTCCAGTACCAAAAGGCCTCCTACAGTCCTACTGGGGTGGCACTTCATGATTTCTCAGTAACACCAAAGCAATAACAGGCATGGCAAAGGGCTTTATGATTTCGCAGTAACACTAAGGCCTGGTTTAGATTGCAAATTTTTGCAACATGGATACTGTAGCACGTTTCGTTTGTATTTGACAAACTTTGTCCGATCATGGACTAACTAGGCTCAAAAGATCCATCTCGTGATTTACAATCAAACTGTGTAATTAGTTATTTTTTTACCTACATTTAATGCTCTATGCATGCGTCCAAAAATTGATGTGATGGAGAGAGAATGAAAAAACTTGGAATTTGGAGGTGATCTAAACAAGGCCTAATCGCCCAATAAAAAAAAAGCTCGAGAAAAACTAATCAAGCAAAGGCAAAGGGCTTCATGATGTCTCAGTAACACTAACCTAGCATAGGGCTGGCAAAGGGCTTCATGATTGTTCAGTAATACTAAGCAAACACAGGGTTGGCAAAGGGCTTCATGATGTCTTAGTAACACTAAGCAAGCACAGGCTTGGCAAAGGGCTTCATGATCTGTCAGTAACATTAAGCAAACACAGGCTAGGCAAACATTATATTATGATTTTTCAGGAACACTGGCAAAGGGCAAGATCGAAGCTGTTGGGGGGTAAACATCTAGCACAGTGCTCCAGTAGAGATTCAGGCAATATGCTGGCATTAGCAAAAGGCAAGTACATTTTAATCATGATTTCTCCATAAGTTCCTTTCCATATAACATTGAATTATGAAATTAGCTCGAGGTGTCCGCATCATTTGCATACGACTAGGACCCTGTAGAAGTTGTATTAGCCTATACTACCATATACAGTCTCCAACCAACTTTTCATCGAAAACAACTACAATAAGAACCTAGCCTGGCGCCCAGAATAGCAAGAGCTTGACATAAGTGATTATCCTCTAGACCTGTATTCTCTGAGAGAACACCAAACGAACAGGACAACGATGTCCGGAAGAACCCAACTAAAGCACTGACAGCGACACGGGGATGAACCAGGGCACCCCATTTCCAATCTGATCCCTTCCTTCCACCCCGGAACTGCAATCCCCTCCATCGTAGTCCCTAGTGGCGACCGGCGAACTAGCCTATCGTGCGCCGGCAAGCAATAGCAGGCTTCCACTTGGTGTTGTTGTGCCCCCAGCAACGGCAACTCCACCGAACCGCACGCGAAAGCAGGAGCGCGGTGGGTTGGGTTGGGTTGGATTCGAAGCTTGCGTTGCACGGGACGCGACAGCGGAGCGGGTGGCGTGCAGGCACAGATTGGAATCGCCCGCCCGCCGACCCAGAGCGTGGGAGGGAGGGAGGTGGGCGAATCGCAATCGGCACAGTGGAATGGAACCAACCGAAGGGAAGGGAAGGGAAGGGAAGGAAAGGAGAGGAGTAGAGAGGAGGACTTACTGGGAATCGTCGTCGTCTTCAGGCGAGGAGCGTGCTGCGGCGTTGTAGGCGCGGGCAGGGAAGGCGGCGACGGCGGCGGGATCGAGGCCGGGGGAGGCTTCCGCCGCGGCGTGGTGGTGGTGGCGGCGGGCGACGTGGAACGGGAACGGGTCGGGGTCGGCGTAGTAGTGGTGGGCGTAGTGCTGCGGGAGCGCGGGGGCGGCGCGATGGGAGCGGGCCCCGCGGCGGCGGCTGCGGAGGAGGAGCGCGCAGGCGAGGCGCGTGCAGACGAAGACGATGAAGAGCACGCTGAAGCAGAACCCCGCTAGCGCTAGCGCCATGCTCGACGACATGCCGGACCCCATCGCCGCTCGCCGCTCGCGCGGGAGGGGGTGGTGGGGTGGTGGTGCCGAGTGCGGGCTGTCGGGGCCCCTCAGTTGCTGTGCGACTGCGGCGGTATACTATGGACGGTGGACCCCTGTGGTGGTGGTGGCCGGTGACTGTGGAATGCGGCGCTCGGGCGCTGTGCCGTTGCGCACTCCGCGTCCGCGGTGGGTCTGGTTGCGAACTGTTCCCGTTTCTCTGCGTCGGGTTCGGGTACTCGCGTGGCGTGGGTCAGTGGGTGGCAACTGTAGCGGGACGCCCGCGGCTGCACCCCTTTCTCTATCTGTATCTGGTAGGAGTATCCGGTGTGCTTGCGAGTGATGAGGCAGCTAGCTACGTGATGCGAGAGGCTGTGTGGGAGAAGGATGATGCTATATACAGAGAGAGCAGAGAGTAGGCAGAGGTCTCTGTGCGTCTGGTTTCTGGTCAGCGCTGCCGTTTGCGTGTCTACTAGCGATTTGCGCGCGAGCGATGGCCGTAGTTGCCAAATGGAATAACGCGTGTTCTAGAAAGCATGTACACAACGGTGGATTTTTTTTCTTGTTTTTGAAACACACAGATAAGGCATCTTTCATGGGAAATAAAATACTCATAGCTGTAGTCTGAAGAACAGACTTGCATAGTTCAGAATAATGAAAGATAGCAGGTGCACGGACACACGTACATGGTTGCTTGGTATGCAGCCATTTCAACAGTCGCTGGGGCATCTGTTCTCTTGGCCGAAGTCTGCTTTAGTTTGGGAAGCATGGCGCTGTCCAAGATTGGATCTTCAAGAAGAGACAACAGCTCACCATGGAGGTTCACCAAGGACTGTGATAGCCTGCAGAGAATCGATGCGGGCATCTGGCTTGCTAGCAACAGAAGTGATATTCTGACATGGTTTTCAGCGCCAGTAAGCAGTGGAACGGCGGTCGAACGTTCCTGACAGACCGAATCATAGAAGGTCAGGGAGCCACGGAGTGCTGCATCTTTTGCCTTGATGTTGTTCTTCAGTTTAGTCGCCTCATCTTGAAACAACATGCAACCTGTTCGGTTGGCTAGTTCGTATCGTTGCTGGTTCGTGAAGAAGTACTGCTGACTAGTTTGTGTGAGAGAAAAATACTATTTCGGCTGAAAATTTACGATCGTTTACGACAAGCCACAGCCAAACGAACAAGCGGATGGACCATGAGGTAGAGCAAAAAGGTCTTCTCTGAGTCCAGAAACATGTGCGGCGTTGTAGTCATCAATTTTCACCATTTTTTCGTTTTCAGGGTAATTTAGTGCAGCGCGATCGATAGTTTTTTTGTGTTTACCAAATTTCCAGAAAATTCTTTTGTTTCCTTGTCATAGGATTCTCTAGCCAGTATATTGCCAATCTTGAGACATGGTATGCACCTCGTCCAAAGATGTTCACGTGGAGCCGCAACTGCAATACACAGTTTGGTCAACCGGCCTATTCCCTGGTTGGTTTCTAGACGGATAAGCTCGGCTAGTGCTGGTTTGTTGTGAGAGAAAAATACCATTGGCTGGCTGATAAGCCCTGTCTAAAACCGACAAGCGAACAGGCTGAACAACTGAGGAAAGCTATAACAATGGCTTGGTCAAGGAAATCTGCTACAAGAAGCCAATGTTTGAACTCCATTGTGATGCAATGCTATCGTGGAAGGGGACACTCAAATTTAATACCAAGACGTCTGCATCACGTTCACCTATTCGCGTATGCGCTGCCCGTGCAGGCTGCGACGGATGGCGCTAGCGGGAATGTGCGATGCGTGCTGGAGGACGCACCGCACTGGTAAAATGTTCGGATAGGATTTGGAAAATGTTCGGATAGGATTAGGACATGAGGAGTGAACACGGAAATGTAAAGCAGAAGCACATCGAAAGAAGCGCTTTGGAAATTGTTCGGATAGAGTTAGGACCAGAGGAGTGAACAAAAACAGAGAAACAAAACTAAAAGTCAGAAGGAGTGCATGAGCCAGCCAAAAAAGCATATATAATATATATATTTGGAGATGCGGGGTATCGATCCCCGTACCTCTCGCATGCTAAGCGAGCGCTCTACCATCTGAGCTACATCCCCAGTTTGGATTTCGGTGTCCAGTCTGCTCTATATAACTTCAGAGTGTAGGTTTGGCTTAACATGGATCGAATCGGTCCTAGCTCGTTAGTCGACGCTATAATTGGGCCTTCTTTTCAGGCATACTGGACCATCGGAAGCAGCTTTGTTAGTGCTGCTGCATTCTGCATACTCAGGGTTCGGTACACTAGGATGAAACGGTCGAAAAACCTCTCAATCGTTTTCTACTTTTACATTTGAATACGAAAACAAAAGCGAAAGCGGTAAAGCCGGACACGAAAACGAACACGAAATTACGGAATATCGAGAATTTCGAAAACAAACTAATTCGAGCGGAATTATGTCGAACACGGTCGGTATACGAAAAATCAATGCGGAATATTGACTTGTTGGACCAAGTGCATAACAATTAACAAGTGAATAATAATTAAAAAGTCCTACAACTTTCTTAAAAAGTATCTCCATTCGACACCATGTAAGGAAGATATGATTTTTCTAGACAACAAGCGTTTGTACGCAATTTAATATAGTGTTGAAACTTTGTTTAAATTTTTTGAACATCTTAAGGACCTCAAATGAAAAAAAACTAAAAACTAGAAAGTTGTAGATCTCGTCGAGAGCTACAATTTTCATATAAAAATCATCTTCATCCGAGATCGTATGAAAAAAATATAATTTTTCTAAGGTTGGACTTCTAGTGGGTCAAATTTGGTTTAAACCCAATTTCGAATTCGGGATATTTTGAATTAAAAGTAGAAAAGTAGAAAACGGTCGGAAAAATGTCTAAACCATTTTTGTTCTGATTTCGAATTTGATGTTTCGAATTTTGAACCGAATTCGAATTTGTCCGAAAATACGAATTCGATCGGATTAAACGTAGAAAACGATGCAGTTCGTTACGGGGTATTTGTATACCGTTTTTATCGCTAGGTACACTGGATGGATATCAAGCTGGCAACGTAATAGAGACCATGGCAACAAGCCAGCAGCCGCAGTTTTTTTTTTTTTTTTTTTTGTGCACGTTTCCGTAGGTGTCGGTCGGTTGAATCATGGCTTTCTATTCAGGCGACGTGGTTCTTCAACCCGTGCGGCATCAAACCTGTCTATTGCGTTCGGTTTCATTCGGATATATGATCCGTTATTACAAGCTCGAGCCGGTTACACGCTCCGAACCTAGAAAAAATGTTCGGTTAATTGTTAATGGTTCTTGTGTCAATACAAATCAAATTTTTTATCTTGTACGACTACAGAAACAATTATAATTTGTTAATTGTATTTATGTGAACATAGTTCATTTTTTTTGTCCTTGTCCTGACTATATAAATAATTATAAATTATCTTTATGCTGACACAGATCCAATATTTGTCCTTGTTCAACTATATAAACAAATTGTAATTTGTTTTTGTCCCTGTATCAATACATATTAGATCCTTGCCATTGTTTGACTATACAAAGAATTGTCATTTGTTAATTGTTTTGGTGTCGATAACTCGATACACATCAGATTTTTGTGATTGCTTGTTTGTATATGTTTTCGTGTGTTGGTGAGAGAGGTAAAGCCCAATTTAATCTGCAAAATGAGCCCATATTTATTCTCCTAGTAAACCTCCAACAAGCTTGTGAACAAACCAATGCCAACAAATTGTAGCCATTGGATGTTAATCTAGTGGCTGCTAGCTGTCGTCTGAAAATAAGTTATATTCCAGACACCTGAAATACATTGTGTCCCTTTGTTGTGTAGTATGTACTCTGGTCGATGGAGCAGGTGGATTCTAAGACAGGAAGCGAGCGTTACCTCTGAACCCTCGAAGGCGCAAAGACAGGTAGCTTGGATCACCGCTACGTAGAGCATGGCGCATTCTTCCAACTTTCTTGGAGAGTCAAAGCATCTCAAGTTTACTTGAGACTTATGCCCACAATGGCTATGACGTATTTGTGCAACTACATTTATTGCTTAATGCCACCTCTTTACAGCCTGTTCGCTCGGTCGTATTTGGCTTATAAGCCATGGCTTATCAGCCAATGAACCTTATTTTTCTCTCACATCAAACCAACCAACAATACTTTCAGTCATGGCTTATAAGCCAAATCAGCCCAAACGAATGAGGCTTTAGTACATTGTAGATGCACTCAGGAACTGACAAGATAATAAAATGGTGGACATGATTGAAACACGAGACTTTTTTTCTCTTCCCGTGTCCTGTGAAATTCCTGTGTAAATTCTATGAAATTCCTGTGTTCTAAATAGACCCTAATTAGAGTAATAGTGGAAGATCTTGAAGGCCAAAAGGGGCAAATGCCCTCCACCCCGTGCAGTGAAAATGTGAAGCAGGGTCCTGCTGTTGATTGCTTGTTTGGTCGCTGTTTTGAGGGAAACGGTAGCACAGACCATAGAAGCGTTTTATGTGTCATTTGTGAATGTTTGTACGAGTTTATATTATAAGGTGATAATGTTTGAACAGGTGGTGCGCCTTTGGATCATTCTTAGCTCACGTTTTTTGCATCACCGTTTCAAGGCAAGTAAACATAGCGGTGGTTTGCTACAACTTAACATGTTATTTAATCTACCTACATTTTATCGTAACATTAACTAAATCAAGATAATATATTTAGGTATGAATTCACTTATCCTTTAAAGTAAATTACATATGATCTTCATGTTGAATCTTTTGTCATTTGTTTATCATCATGAGGTAAGTGATATGTTTTATTATTGTAGACATGTATGACATATGTTGTAAGAATTTGTCTATCATCGGAAGGTAAGTGATATGTTTTATGGTTGTGGATGTATGCGACATATGTGGTAAGTATTATTGCAGTTGCATCATATTATTGCACCATGTGCATTCATGACATGAGCATTTGCATTGAGCCAGGTCGGTGAAAAAGTTATATAACTATTTCGGAGTGCTCTT